CAGCTCTTCATCCTCGACAACAGCCGTACCAAAGTTCATGGCATGAACTGTCGTCGTCACGGCGCAGTCAGTGATAAGGTGTTCTGGTGTTTCCTCATTTTCCCCACAGAATCTGCATTCGCCGTTGTTTCTCAGCTTTAGCCTAATGACGTGTTCGTTGGGGAGACAGTATCCTGTAGAAACCCCGTGACAATCCGAAGATTGTTTTTACTTAAATCAAGGAAAGTGTTTGATTTTTCTCGGTCGTAAGTTCTGAGGAACTTTTTCGAGTGTCTTAGACCGTTGGAGGACACCCATTCCAGATTACGGATGGAGTCTTCCAGATTTTTCAGTTTCCGTTTTCAGTTGGTTCCCGCTTTGAAAACGTCGCGCGTCGGCGTCGTCTAGTGCTGCTTGACTAAGATGGCTATTTCCTGTTTCCCATAGTTCCTATCTAAGATAAATTGTACGCATCTTTCGATAGCGTAGGTGCCCATTGATTTGGAGTATTTTGGCCCAAATATTTCTATCCCTATATCTGCTTTGGGTTTGGAAGCATCAGACCACGTTATGGTTTGGTTTTTACCTACTTGGGACAACTAATACACCAGCTCGGGATCTCTACTACCAGAAATCAACATAAGAATAATTAAGTTAGCATATTAGAGGTGTGTAGTTCGTGAACGAATTAGTTCCAATGAACTATTGCGACCCCAGAATGAAAGGAATTAGTTCCTGGTTTCTCAAAGAACTAGTTCCTCAGGACCTGTTCCGGGATCGATATACAGGGTTTCTCAGATTTTAATCGGGAAAATTTAATAGACGATAGAACTTACAAAAATAAAACAAAAAGTTCATATCAACTTGTAAGATTTATAGCTTCCTTTACGAGATACAGGGTGTTGAAGTTACTTAAAAAAGAAAAAGAATTAAGATATTTGAAAAACTATTTAATCGATTTTGATATAACTTGACCCGTTTATAATACTTAATATGGGACTTAATTTGATGTAATTAGATTTAAGTTTAATGGCCAGGGGCGGCGGTGGGGCATTACTGTTAAATTATTTTAAAGGAAAAAATAGGCACGCCACTGCTTTTTTAGAAGTTTAATATTATTTTTGGATTTAGTAATAAAAAATACTATTTTTTTGTCTCGTAACTATTTTGTCTATCTTGCTTACTATTTGCGAAAAAAATTAAATTCTAATTGGTAATTAATGTATTGGTACCCTGTATCTCGAAAAGGAAGCTTTAAATCTTACAAGTTGATATGAACTTTTTGTTTTATTTTTGCAAGTTCTATCGTCTATTAAATTTTTCCGATTAAAATCTGAGACACCCTGTATAATAATAGGCTACGGCGCGCGGCGATGGATCGGCCAGCGCTATCCTAGCCCGATGCTAGGCAGGAGTGGGGGTGCCAGCCGTATGTTATCGGATGCGGACCTAGAGGAACTAAATATAAAACTAGTTTACTTACGGATCGGCCAGCGCGATCGTAGCCCGATACTAGGCGGGAGTGGAGAGTGCCAGCCGTATGTTACCTGTCCCGGACCGAAAGGACTGGGAGGAACTAGACGAACTAATTAAAACACTAGTTCACGAGAATCTATTCAGTCGGCAGATCCGAGATATAATACAAGGCGACGACGATGGATTCGGCATTGTCTATTGCCACAGCTGGCGTAATTACCACAGAAAATTATCGTAGACACTGTTTTTGATTTTTAGTTTGTTCGTTAAATATTTTATGGGAATGTTTCACTTTAGGTCCCTAAAATTAAGAAATATCTTATAAAACCAGTAGATATTCTAAATTTTTAAACAAAAAAAGCTTATTATTTCCTCCAATTGATTTGTGATATAGTTTTTTAAACTCTGATTTGAGTTTCTTTTTTAATTTTTTTTATCTGCAATAAGACTATATGTGTTTAACATACCCAATTACACGTCTCGTTATATTTCGTACATTATAAAAATTATACAGATCAGAGTACAGAGTATTTGAGTAACGCGATTTTGGAGCGGTACTTTTTTGTAACGTCGTGTCGCGTACCACAATGAATCAGGAACCTGTTACTGAAGGACTACAATCATAATGACGACAAAATTATAAATTGTTTATAATTTGCAAATAATTTATTTAGAATCGCTCTTGAAGTTAGCTAAACCGTAGCACAGCGACGTGTTTAGCTCCAGCCGTCGCGATTTCGTCGGTCGCCAACAGTAGTAATTGGAACTGGTATGCACGTAGCGTCGCGCGTGTTGCTTCAGCCATCGCGCTCCTACAGCCGTAGCTCAGCCTGTCACGGACAGAAGTACTGGTACACAAAACACATACACAAGGAGAAGTGCGAGCGCCTTGCTAAATATTGGAAAGTGAAATTGACGTTTAAATTTGACACTGTTGACAAGTCTACTGCTACTAGCGCCCCCAATATCGCTTGTAGGAACTACGGACTAGATTGTCACGCATGGCGGGAAGTTTAAAAAAATAAAAAATTTTAATTCTTCATATATTTTTAATTGACATAGATAAAAACACAAAAAATACACCATTTTTTAAAAATATGTTTAATATCAATATCAAATATACAACAGAAATTAATTTCACCACAATAAATTAATAAAATTAAAAAATAATGTTACAAGTAGATCAAGAGACAAAATTAATTATAACAAAACTGAAAAAATGGCGTCATAGATGGCTTAGAAATGACGATATATATCATAATTTTGAAAGTAAAATTATATAGGAAATGTCATCGATCATCATTTTGAAGCCAACTGGACGATTATTTCAAACATACAAGCTGAGTTCGTTCATAGTGCTCTGAGAAATCTAGATAAACAAAGAATAATAAATTAAAAGTATTCCAGGGAAAAAGAGAGGAAAAACCTGTATCGTCTCTGATATCTGTCAGGGTTTTGTTGAAAGTGTCATCTTTTTGCTCGAAGTTTTCAGGTCGATTAAAAAGATGACATTTACAACAATACTTTGCCGTAACTTTCACAAATATCAGAGAGAGAGTACAGGTATTGCCTCTCTTTTCCTCTGGGATGCTTTATATCTGTTCTTCTTTGTTTACCTATATTTCTAAGAGCATAATGCCAAACACGACTACAGTATATAATAATTTCAATATCCTAAGTGGAAAGAAAAAAGATCACCTTTCTGTTTTGTACTATGGTCCCTTTCTTCCGATGGCTCATCTCGTTGATATTTAGGAAGGTATCCATAAAATATATATTTTATTATCGGTCCTGGGATGAAAAAATATAAAATTCAATTTCATTTGATGATCCTTTTCTGTCACCTAAATCAGGAGAATGACAATGAGCATGTTAAGATGAAAAAAAACTTATTTATCAACACTTACCTACACGTTAGTCCAAGGAGTTTTATCAAAAACCTATATTTGCCTAAATAATTTATGTATTCAATTTACAAAGCAAACTGCAGCGTGTAAACAAAAGAAATAAAATGGCGACAAGTCAACGTCAACGACCCGACAAGGAGAAAAGTGGTGTTCGAATAACAATTTATGGGTTGCAAAAATTGTTTTTGTCTCCTTTCAACGCACACTTTAGAAAGAAAAAGAGCTGAACAGTTATACTGAAAGAATGTCAAGGTTTTATCTGTCACTCTTGTCAATAATTTATCGGTAAAGAAGATTCCTAGAAAATCGCTTGTAGTCAAGTTTTCAACCATTTCCAGTTCTCCCATAAGAAGTGTCATCCACCTGTACTGGTATGTTATGTGTAACTGATAACTGCTGTGGGAGTGTTTATCGACGCTCGACCTCGGACGCGACGTACTTCGTTCCAGCAGGCGCTGGAGCGCTTCTAGGGTTTCTTTTTCGCCTGTCGCGATTTGGTCGGTTACTACTGGCGTTAGTGCTCCTGTCGCTACGTTACTTTCGAAATAGCTATATTTTTGGTATGTACTAAGCATGGCATAAAATAGTATTGTTTGAAAGATGAAACGTAAAAGCAAATAAAATAATATAAAATTGTTATTTGCTTTTATTTATTTTTATAAGTTTTATTGTTTATATCTATTTTTAAGGTCTGATGATGGCTGGAATTGCCGAAACGGGTCACCAATAAAGAATTTTTTTGACAGTCGTTTGGACTTTGTTTTTGATTTTAACATTAAATATGTATTATATTGCAATATACGTAAATATGAACCAATGATTTTATTTGAACAAAGATTGAAGGAAAATAATAAGGACTGTCATCTTTTTTCTAAAAATGAAATAGACAGGCTATACACAAGTATAAACTCGATATTTGGAAAATGAGTGGCGGATAAAAGTTACATTATAACACTCGTTGGGAGTAGGTAGCTACTAATGCCAATAATACTGCATAAGCTAGGACCGCGATACTTTGGAAGTCGACACTTCGGTTACAAAATCGCGGTGTTTTACTGGAACGGTCGCTATTGTAACGCGACTCATGTGGAACCGGTATTCCCATCACTACTGTGAATAATTCTGACTGTCAACGAAACCCATTAGCAAGCAATGGGAATATCAATGTTAGTCGGGAACTATTGCGAACTAAAGACCTAGTTCAAGGAACTATTCCTCTGGAGGAACTAGAACTAAGGAACTAGTATTCCCCCCTTGTTCCTCCCGAGGAACTAGTATTCCCACCTCTAAGCATATTAAATTAAGAATATTCGTAAAAGATTACACTTCAAGTCCCCCTCGGCACACCACTGTCTCCGATTTCAACCACCATCCCTTATCCCCTAACCCCCATATAGCCGCGCCGCCAAATATGGATCTTTCGATTGAAGAGGGTCGCCATAGCCGGCTCGGTGGAGCGGGGCGAAGGGCAGGGGACGGAATCGGCCAGAGTTCGGGTGAATCGGGATAGGAATCGGGACCGACCGGGACTCAGGAGCGTAGTAGCCATCTTCGTCCTAAATCCGGAGTAGGATCATCGAAAAGCTCGCAGCTTGGCGCAGCGACTTTCGGCCGTCAGTTGGGCTGTTGTCGCGGGTGGGAGTCGATCGTTTCCGAACGTTGCGTGGCGGCAAATTGAATATTTACAGCGCGTAATGACCGATGGAATTTTAATAGAAGTTTCCTGTGTTCGGATGCGTGTATCGCGCAGTGTATTGTACTAACACTGTTTTTTCCTGGTCGTTCTAGTGTTTGTATGTTCATTTAGTGCCAGAGAGATTAGTGGATTAACTTTAAGAAGTAGTTTTATTGGGTAAATATCAAAATTATTTCGTTGTTAGTTTCAGGGTTGCCACCTTTTATTTAAAAGATCGGGACCTCACTGCAGCTGGGGCAACCTTTTTTCTTAAATGTAAAATTTAAATTTTCATGTACCCATCGGATTTTGAAACAATATTTTATGCCTTTTTGCGTTAACTTAAAAAAAACTATTCGATATTTATAAAAAAATTACGTTGAGAACAAAATTAATAAGCAATCAATTAAATCTAAAACAACTAGAACAAAACCTAAACAAAATCAAAAGTTTCAGCTGTCTAATCTGTATAATTGAATTTATTAGTTTATTTAATTATTTTTTAAATGAATAATTTTTTTTTGGCAAAATGAAACACTAATTCCTCACAATACACCAAAACACTTTTATGGTATTTTATCGTCGTGTATAAAACATATTCATAGAAATTATTATGTCAAGAAATTTATTACAAGTAGAAAAATATTGTGCTGGATTCCCGTTGGTTTCTATGTAATTTGACAAATAAATAAAGCTGTCCCTTTAGTTGTTAGTTTTGAGTCAATATTTTTTAATTCTCTTTCGTGTCGATTGCTGGTTGAATTGGAGCCAGAAATGGGTTAAAACGAAATAAGTAAATTACCAACAGTTGGCTGAGTTGCCATATCCAAACTACTTCCATTTAAATCCCGAATAACTTGAATGAAAAGGAACACAACAATTTTCAAAAATGAAAGCAATTAAAAAACGTGCGAGAAGAAATGAAGTTTTTAACCTATCCTCGCTGTTAAAGTATCATTTAATCTATCCTTGCAGTTAAAATACTATTTTATCTACTATTTTTGATAGATATAAGGCAATTTTAACAGTTGTTATGGAAAAAAATATAACATACTTAGTATACACAATCATAAAAAGGCATTAACCCTTACAAGTGCGGTAATTGCCATTAAACACTTTACTTTTAGCACTGGACGCGCGTTTTGTTAGCCAGCTTAGCGTCATCACCAGATAATGAAAACTGATGGTTAGCTTCAAATTTATAATTAGCGAAACGAGCGTCCAAACCAAAGTGTTTTGGTGTATTGCAGTATTTTATTTTGCTGTAACACCAAAGGTTTCAACCCCCAACTGTAATGAATATTTTTTATTTGTTTGGTTGCTGTAATAATAAGAACCTTTTCTTTTTTAATAAAATCCAAAAATTCTTATATGCCATATATTAAAATTAAATGAGATTTGAAGTGCCGTTCTAATGAGCTTAACTAAACATCTAATTCTAGCCGTTTGTCTACTTCAACATCATACGTAAAAATATATAAATAACCCTAAAGAACGAAGGCATATAATTTACTATGGTTTTAAAAATACTTTATTTTTTTATTTATAATTTTTATATCCTTTTTGGCAAATTTCCTTTTCGCAAGTTTTTTTTTATCGAATATTCATTAAACAGTATCAATATCTACTTGTTTTAATTCTAAAATTTCTAAGATTTTAATTAATTCGTGGAAGAGAATTGTTTTTATATTCAAGAAATTTAATAAACATGAAAGTATTTTTATCAATAAATTTTACAATTTTATTCTTTAATAAAAATGTAACTATTAAACAAATAAAAATCGGGACATTAGGGCTTTGCGTGGGGACGCGGGACTTTTGGATTAAAATCGGGACTATTTTAGACTTAAAATATTCCGGCTCAAAAAAGCACTCATTGTGGAATTGTTTGTTTAGGTTAGTTGATTAATTTTTCAACACAAATATTTTGAAATGGAAATCACATATCAATTGTCTTTTTAGTTTAATTTTATATTTATGAAAGTTTCCCTTTGAGAGTGTTCGAAATTATTTGGTCATGTCTTTATTTTTTACACGAAAGGTCGCGCGCGGACTCTGTGTCCGCATGCTAAATTCAAGAAGACTTAAGCGTTCCTAGTGGTGTAAAGACATAAAATAATATGATAACACGGGGAAAAACAGGTATGTAACAGTGGACTGTAAAGGATGATTCACGCTATACCGTGACGGGTCCGAGCCGTGCGTCGGTGAAGACACGGCCAAACATTGTCAAGTGTTATTTACACATATACATTCATGCCAGGCCGAGCACAATCCGAGCTTCGCCGGAACTCGTCCGTGCCCTGTCCCAGAAATGTCGGTGTACATTTTTTTCTCGGATCCGCTTTGTTCCCGCCACGTTGCGGAAAGCATGTATGTACTTTTCCTGGTGCCCCGACTGCAATCTGCAGTCATGATATAAACAAAGTACACTTTTTATCATGTCTGTAGTAGGTAGTGAATTTTACAGCAGTATTTGATGATAGGGAATGCATAAAACTGGACAATTAAAGGATATAATGAAGAAGTTAGAACTTTGGCATTGTTCGTATTAAATCTTCGTGTGTCTATGGGTCTGTGTTTTATAATATACTCAGAACTAATACGAGCCCCGTTATCAACTCGGTGTTACATAAACAGAAGGCTCGGACGTGGCTCGGTGTCTACTTCACAGAACGTGCCCGGCTCGGACACGGTCCGGTGTACTGTGAATCATCCTTAAGTCCGGGCTCGACCTCCAAAGGGTTAAATTTCCAATATTTTTTATATACACAATATAATTTTATAAACATTTTGACTAAAATGACGAATACACGATTATAATTTAGTACTAATATTCAAAATATGCGTTGGAGATCCTTCTTTAATAATTTTTACTTTTTCTGAATACACCATAGAACCAAAGGATGATTGCAAAATTATTTCTATGTCACAGCCGCACACAGAATCGGTCACAGGAAATGGTTTTTAATTTTTAGTAGCAATAACAATAATTCTATAAGCTTTACATCATCGATTAGCGTACTAGCTAAAACAAACTGTTCGAAACAGTCGTGGCTTTGTAGTAAGAATTTATGTTAACACGTTTCGGAGTGCTCTAAAAGAAACAAACACACCGCTTTAGTTTAAACAATGAACATTGTTTATTCATGTAAACCAGGGCTAGACATTTTAATTTCATGTTAAAATAACTAGCGAACGTGACTCATATGTAGTGAAAGAAGTTTACGAATTAGCCCCAATTGATGATTTGAATTTGATATAAAATTATTACATATTTTTGCTTCTGTTCTTCAAAAGAATTCCGGGGATTTTCTCCGCTGGAAGAAGACCTACAAAATATTTTTTTGTCAAACACTGCTGCATTGAATCCAAACGAAAACCTGGTTGTTACACTCTATTTCTAAAAGCCTGATGACACAAGACTCTCATTATAAATGCAACCCACCGAAGATTCCGACTGTAATTTGATATGTAACACTTGAAATGCTTTTTTAGGGTTCCGTACCCAAAGGGTAAAAACGGAAACCCTATTACTAAGACTTCACTGTCCGTCCGTCCGTCCGTCCGTCCGTCACAAAGGTCTATCTTATGAACTGTTATAGCTAGACAGTTCAAATTTTCACAGATGTATCTATGTTGCCGCGATAAGAGCAAATACTAAAAAAGGAATTAAATAAATGTTTATAAATAAAAAAGTACTTTCACTAAACATTATCTTTTAAGTAAGAATTTTACATAGAATCTTTCAAGTTCTCGGTGGCCGCGTGGTTAAAGCGTTAGGACTTTACGCTGCTATGACGTTGGAGCCGTAGTAAGGCAGGTTCGAATCCTAGTCAAGGTGACTTTCTTTTAATGTTTTGTTTTTAATTTTTACATATTTTTACATATTTATTTTTACGTTTTACATATTTATTATTGGTTGATACAATTTTTAGTCATGCGTTTCTTCATTTTTTTTAAATTACTTATACGCGCATTCACAATTTCAGCTAAATCGGAAAAAAAGTTTATAATAATAAAGTGTCTAATGTATAGATAATGAATGGTACGGAACACTTCGTGCGCGAGTCCGACTCGCACTTGTGACCATTTTTTTTATTCTATTGCTTGAGGATTATTTAAGTACATGTTATCGACGCCTATGATTCTTATGATAGGCAGTCATTTTCACGCCGTGCCTGCACCCCGTGTCCGCTGATGTTTGCGAGTAGCGGAGTAGTAGGCTTTGGAAACAGTTGAATGTCAGAGATTGTTCATTTCGGCCGGGAGAAGACATTATTTGTCAAGCTAGTTAGAATTATATTTTAAATATCAATCTCTGTTAAATACATTAATCTCCCGATTACATACACTCGTTTTAGTATTTCTTTAAACTCTCTAAGTATTTCATTAAATAGCTATATTATTAAAAATAGTTAGATTATAATAATTACGTTGGGAAGAATTTAATAGTAACTATGTATGAAGTAAAATGTGTTTATTCGAGTTTAAAAATAAAAACACTTACTCACGGCCTCATATTAATAAACTACAGAAAATGGGTAAACAGCTTCATTATGCATGTACGCATATCACTGCGTTTTTACTAAAAACTAATCTGATTAAATGTGACATTTTCATTACTAGTTATCAATACCTACTTTGTTTTCATTAAAAAAGATTCAGCGAGAATGGAAGAGAATAATACACCTTATTTTTAGTATTTTTCAATTTGTTGGAATAATTATTAATATGCTTCTATTATTCAGTGTATTGAAATAAAGGGAATTTTAAAAATGGGCATTGAAAATAAATATAGTAATACTGTATCGTTTGTGTGTAAAATATTGACTTCTTCTTTCTTCTCAAACTCTCTTTTTCAGGAGAGAGTTGCGTTGCCTAGGTCACTCTCAGGGATTGGGTAAAGCGGGTGTTTGACCGACAGTGCCGTAAATAGCCTTTTCTGCGCCCTGTGCGAGCTTCTATAACTGCGCCCTTGTTTTTATTAGATATTATAGGTACCCTAGAGCAATGCTATGTATAGGCATACTTTATTTCATTCAGGGTGATAAAATAAAGCACAAAGAACTTGAGGTTGGTGGACCAATTATCGAATATTTTGGAAAAAAAATATCTACTTTTTTAAAGAAATGATGTGGGCAAACAATGTCATTTGACAAACGCGAGCCATTTGA